ATTTCGTTAAGTGGTCCGGAATCGTATCCTGGTTTGGATTTCGTTGAGTGGTCCGGAATCCCGTTTGGTATTTTGGTTCAGTTGAGTGGTTCGAAACCTGATGTTGTTGGATTTCGTTGAGTGGTTCGAAATCCCATTCTTCAAAGATATAGGCTTCGGCCGAACTGTGTCGCTCTAACCCTGCATTTTGGTGCGTTGTAAATGTTATTGATTGATATGACTTTGGAATAGTGTTGGAAAGCATATGTGTGCGAATGGCATAATTGTGTGCATTGCAAGATCACAATTGTTGTTTGGCTTATGGTTGATGTGTAGTGTGGTACGCTATATTTTCTGCTAGAAGTGTTTTACGGAAAGTTTAGAGTTAATAAATGAAGAACTACGAATGACTTGATCCCTGTTTAGGGTACGTAAACAGACTATCGAGGATGTTAGATGCAGCTATAAAGCATATGAAAAATTACTATGCGACTCGATTCTTGAGTTGTGCTTTGCCCATATTTCGGAGGCAAGGTATGTTAGATACGGATTTTTTAAGATGTTACGTGTTGATTATGGACATATGTGGGATTGGGCCGTGACAAGTAAATTGCATGTATTTTTAAAACTGAAGCATATATGTGATGTAGCTGTAGAAAATAAAATGATTGATTTTTCGTTTTTATTGTCTAGGAACGAAATTTTTTTGTTACTGTTTGACAAATGTTTTTGTCTGCATAGACTATCTTCTCGGTACTCTCTCTCATACTCAATTCGTCCAAAAAAGAAAACAGAGTCAATTGGTGATGTTAGAGCACGGGGTCAAGCAAAGAGCCAAACTGAGAAAAACAGGAGCGGGTGCAGACGGAGCATGCTCAGGTGAGTGCTTGCCTTTTGGAGAGAGCCCACATCCGGCCATTAGTCATTTCATTGTCAAGTCTGAAACAACCAAATGCGACAAAACCATTGCCGCCTATTTACAGACACTGCAATCCCCTTCACTCTCCCATTCCTTTTACACATGCATGACCCCAACAACTACAACACCCCCCCCCCCCCCCCCACCGCAAAAAAAAAAGAACCCCCAACCCTAACTAAGCCGAGTGATCTTTTTCTTTCATTTGTTTTAGAGTGAATGAAATATCCATACTTGTGGTGTTAATATATTTTCTTCAAACTCTATATGTTGTGTTGAGATATTTTCTAACGATTCATGATGTGCACAATTAAAGAAATATCAATTTCTTTAATGCATTTTCATTTGAAGAAAAACTTTCCAGGAAAGGGTTTATTCTTCATTGATGAGGTACAATGGTTATATAAAAGTTAGAGGAGGAGGATCACAATCCTCGCGTCCAATAATCTAATATGTTGGGTGGACTATTTCATCAATAGAAAAACGAACACTAACTTTAGTCTCCCTTTCATAATGAATCCTTTATAATCTTCACTTAATAAAAATTAATGTTGTAGATTACAAAGAGAAGAAAATTAGCCAAATGACGATTCATATGAAGATGACTTTCTTTGTAGAAGCTCTCATTTTTAACCAATTTTAAATTAATATCTTTGTTAGAAAGCTAGCTAGGTAACTTTTTTCGCAGAAAGCTTGGAAACTTTATACAAGAAATAGGCATCTTTAAGCAGATGAAAATTGAAAAGGTACATATATACAGTGAGGTGAGATCCAGCGTGTTATCCAATTGGTGATATAGATATTTATTTGTCAAAACTTTCCACAAAGGCCATTTACATACTGTTTAGAAATAAACAAGAGTGAGGCCATATCATTGGATTTGAAGATTGCAGATTCTCAATGATCTTGAGCCTCATGAATCCTGATAAAAGGCAAAAAGAGTTGTTTTCTTGCAATGGGTTGGGGTTCGAGTCCGGTTGGCCATCCAACAAGGCGAGTTTCTCCATATACAGATACTGTAAATCTCTTTTTAACTTCTATCAGCCATGCATTTTTACCATTTTAATATCATTCAACAACCTCAAGACTAAAGACCGTAGAAAACGCAACTTAATAATCATAAAGGACCACCCCCCCCCCTCCCCCTCCTCTCTTACGATTAACATATGTTCACCTTCATTATAAATGAAACTCTTCGTTGTCTTTATTATCATCTAAAGATTATACTTGGAAATTGTATGTGGAAGTTCCGAGTTTGGATATTGTTAAAATGTTTTGGACATGTAAAAATTTTATATTATAACCCCACCGGTTATAACCCCACTGGGGATGTAAACACCACTTTATGTCAGATCCCAGCACGTTGTGGAGCCAAAAATAATATATAAAATCATGAAAATGACACATGGACTTTTACCCACAAGATATGATAATGCCCTCATTAAATTGGAGCGGCCCACATTCCTTCCATGCGCAGTTCAACTCTCAAGAAAACCTGAGCTGCTAACTACAACTTCTCCAGGCTCATGTCTATGGCAATGAGAAAAGTCAAAGGTATTAAAGATATGACAAATAACCAAGTCCTATCTTTAAAGTTTTCCTTATTGAAGACCAACTCAATGAAGTAAGGAATCACCATCAAATCAAATCAAGGATTAGACGAGCTAATTCCAAAACATTATTAATTAAATAATAGGATTAAGTACCTAAAACTCCATAACATTTTAGTGTCATTCCAAATTGGTCTCAACTTTTTTAAACATTCCAAACAAGTACCCAACTTATTAAAACTGTCACATCCGTTAAACCCTAGTTAATTTTTCAAACATAAATTATATTCAAAACCTGCCAACTAGGTATATATATCATGGACAATATTAATATTAGTTGCCTCAAAATCTAAATTTCAAACATAGATTATATAATATGAAACCCAATGATCAAACCTGTGTTGAATTGAAAAGAAAATGGACTCAAATTGAAATTACATCATGAGGGCAATCTCTTAACAAAGAAGTGGGTTAAGAATTCAAATAGGGTTTCAAGGAGCTTGTTTCTACTCATATGATTTCTTCATTCGCCGATTCTCGACTCGTAAAGCTTCTAGTTCTTTTTTGTGGGCGATGTAGATGGTGATGGCTGCATCATGGTAATCTATACCATTTCAATAACCTCTATGACCTTCTTCTCGATGTTGGCAACTTAAGTGGTAGGGTGAAGTTAGTGGCAGGTTTGGAGGTGATGGCCTTATGGGGGTGGTAGTAACCGTTAGTTGGTGGACACATGGCATGGCACCCTATACATGTGGCCAACTATCCTCATTCTCCACTAAATTTTGTTAGGCTTTTGCTACATAATTAACCCCTAAAACTCTCTCTTCTAGAGAAACTAACTTAGCCCAACCCACCCCCCCCCCGGTGCCGCAACTACTTTGGTCTTTTGAAGAAAGGTGTTTAATTATTTTGTAGGTACAAATTCGTTAAGACCAAAGACCACGATTTTTTGCTATCACACATGCCTTTACTGCAAACTTTCTTTGTTTTATTTTATTTTTTTAAAATTATTTGCTACAAACGGTTAGTTTTCCTAAGTAGATATTTGAAACTGAAAAAGTGGAATATCAAGCCATTCTCAGTTTAGAAACCTTTTGCAAGATACCAAAACCCTAACCAACCTCGAAGCCCTAAACACTCGCACCACACAACATGCACACAATCGTTTCAATTAATTACAATCTAAAATTGTTTCAACTTGATCGTATATGTCCTCCAAATACCTTGCACTAAGAGAGCTGAGAGCCAAAGCCTTAAGACTAATAATCTCCTAAGGGTGTGTGCGTTTGTCTTCAATAGGTTTTACTGGACTGGACTAGACTAAGAACTAGTGTAGTCCCATGTTTGTATCCGCGGAGACTAACTTTAATGGATTGGATTTTACTTGCGTTGACTAAAGGCCCCGCTAGACGGTCTTAACAAGACTCCCAAAAATCCTGGAACCTTTCGCATCCTTTACATCTCCGACTGACCACTCTCATCGCATCCTCGTCATCTCTAACCACTCCCACCCTGTCCTCGTCATCTCCAACTGCGTCATTTCTTTCTCCCTCTAACTCGATCATCGTCTCTATTTTTGCTTCTAATTATTTGGTTTTTGAATTGGATTTTTTCGATTTGTAGAGATGGCCAACTCGATCATCAGTCGGAGCAATTGCTTCCTCGTCGTCTTCTTCTCCTTCGCTGCCTCGTCTTCTTCTTCTCCTTCATCCCTCGTCATCTTCTTCTCCTTCACAGAGATAGCCAACCTGAAGCAAATCCTGGTGAGGGCTTTTCCCTTTTTAGCATACAAGTTTCAATTTATGCACTTGAATTTGATTTAGTTGTGGTATGATTGTGAATTCATGACCAATGAAAATTGAGAAAGAAATTCATGACCAAAGGAGGGAAATATTGTCATTTGTATGATTGTGAATTCAATCTTTTGATTGATTGTCATGTATTTTAAACTGGATATCTTGAATTTTAGAGTTGATTGCAACTAATAGTTGCTTGAGCTCGATTACGATATGGGTTTTGAAGTAGTGTATTTGTGATTTGAGTATTTTAGATTTAGCAATTTTATTGCAGAGTTTCAATAATTTGATTGGTTTTTGATAATTTTTGTTAACGGTATTTTGGAATTTAGCATATTTTGACATTTTAATTCATATACTAGTTAATTTTGGTTGAAATTTGATTGGTTTCCTCCTACTTTTGGGTTGGAATTGGATGTTGAAATTTTTTATGTCGGTAGAAATTGAAGTTAAAGCAAATAACTTGAATATTTTGTTATATATGAAATGTTTTTTTTTTCATTATCCTGCTTTGTAGTCCGATATTGCACTAAGTCAGTTTAACTTTGTCCCGAAATTAGTCTAATCCGAAATAGTTCTGCACAACAACTTGACGGTAAGAATGCCACAGGCCCAAAAAGACGATGTAGCCCAAATCAATCAAGAGAAACATAGGAAAATAAACCACTCAACCGCGACTCCCGCTATCCAGACTTCTATCACAAGTAAATAGCAACGCTTTCAGGGGTATTTTCGTACATAAACTCCTATATAAACTCTCAAATCTCAAGCTAGCATTCAGTATGCTCTGCCTTGATTCGAGACAAACTGTGTGTATGTTTGTCAAACAAAGAAAGAGAGAGGGAAAAGGAGTTAATTAACAATAATAAGAGAGGTAGAGGATGATAACGGCACAAGATTTCTACAAGGTCAGCTGCGCAATTGTTCCACTATACTTTGCAATGCTGGTGGCCTATGCCTCTGTCAAATGGTGCAAAATATTCTCACCGGAGCAGTGCTCTGGCATCAACCGCTTCGTGGCGGTGTTTGCGGTTCCGGTGCTGTCTTTCCACTTCATATCCCAAAACAACCCTTACCAGATGGACACCAAGTTTATATTGGCTGACACTTTCTCCAAGCTTTTGGTTCTTGCTTTGCTCTCATTATGGTCTATATTGTTTAAGGCGGCAGGAGGGCTTGACTGGCTTATCACGATTTTTTCTGTCGCCACTTTGCCAAACACATTGGTCATGGGCATCCCTTTGCTCAAGGCCATGTATGGCGATTTCACACAGTCCCTCATGGTTCAAGTGGTTGTGCTTCAATGCATCGTATGGTAATTTCTTTGTTTCTCATTTAGTTTTGCTCATTAATTTGGGTTTTCGGTTTTCACATTGTATGCTAGTAAATGTTAGTTGATTTTTTGGGGGAAATGATTTCGGGACTCTTTTTCGTCTTCTGCACTATTTTTTTCTAGTCATCTAATTGAAGTCATTGAACAATAAAAAAAGCGTGCACATAAATCACTCTTTTTTGGTGTCTTGTTGGTATTATCCACACGTTCTTGTGGATTGATTGTATACATTCGTTAATTATTGTTAATTTGTGATTGATTAGGTGCTCAGTTATTGTACAAATCTTTGTTGTCTTGTTGGTAATTTCCCACAATTTTTCTTCTTATACTAACTTAGTATCCATATGCTAAATTGACAACAAAAAAAATCCATTTATTAAGTTTTAGGGTATATTATTTCGTACAAAAATAATTAAGCACAGTCTCGCTCGATTCTGGTAGGTACACACTTTTGCTCTTTCTCTTTGAGTATAGAGCAGCCACTCTACTCATCCAAACCCAGTTCCCTGGCCCCACCGCCGCAGCCATAACAAAGTTCGAAATCGACGATGACATTATCTCCCTGGACGGCCGGAACCCCCTTTGCACCGAGTCTGAAACCGATCAAAATGGGCGTATCCGGGTCCGAATCCGGCGCTCTACCTCATCAGTCCCCGGCTCCTCAGCTCTATCATCCTCGATGGGCCTCACTCCCAGACCATCAAACCTCTCCAACGCGGAAATATTCTCAATCAACACACCTCACCACCATGCAAACCTTGAATGCACTTTGGGATCTGGTGACGTGGCCTTTGGGTATCGATCTACCAGCCCTCAACTCTCCGCCGGGTACGCGTCCTCGGACGCGTATTCCCTGCAGCCAACTCCACGTGCTTCAACTTTCAATGAAATTGACACGACCACATTCTCCACCACCGCCAATACCCCGGTGTGGGCCAGGTCTCCGGCGACGGGGAGATTTTCACAGCAACCGTCTCCGACATTTAACGGCGTGAAGATGGTATGGGAGTCACCTGCGAAGTGTCAGGGTGATGATCAGAGACAAGGATATTTCAAAGAGGTTGGAGGTACGTACGCATATCGACCTATCTATTTGTTGCTTCTTTTTAGGGTTTCTGGTTTGAAGGGGACAGGACGCTGTCGTATTGTAGGTGAAGAACATCAACGGGACATGCAGCTTTTTTCAGGGAGGTTGTACACTTTGACCACAAATAGAAACGAACCAAAATAGTGTGAAAAATAACACTTGCGTATATTTACAAATATTTTTTTTTATCAATGAAAGAAATAAAATAAAATTCAATAATACTATCCTGTCAAAAATTACTATCCCCTAGGCCAATTGGGCTTTTTTTTTATGTTAATTAAATATAAAAAAAAATTCTTAAAAAAAAATACAAAAAAACAAACTTCTCACTCCCACATTCTCTATCACTTTCTTCCTCTCTCCTTCTACTTCAAAAACAAAAATAAAAAAATTTCTCACACACTTTGTGTGTGCCCATACACACACACTAACTACATTTTGCAACTTCTAGGATCGTAAAATTATATAAATTTATAATTTTGTTTGTCCAATGTCTAATCCTTCATTAAATTGCTGATTAATTTGAATATATATATATATATATGGTACAAATGTGACTTATACGTCATCAACATAAAAGTTTCATGTTTTACTATGTCATCAATCTAATGAAAAATCAAATAACCACCAACTAGTATTGCAATCTTATGGTGTCTCCCCTTACAGTAGATATCATTGTATAAGAGAAAAAAAAAGGCATCAATTGCTACACCTTAATCATTTTTAGTGCAGTATGAGAGAACTAAAATTTCATGATCCATTTTAAAAATCACTATTTATCTGAGGGTTTGAAATATTATTAGCTCAAAGTTATACAAATATCATATTAAAATCATAATATAACCTGCAGGCCAATTAAATTATTTTACTATATTTATGTATCATATCTTCTCCTAGTGCAAACATGACCAACCTCAAAAAGACAGGTGGTGTCTCCACCCAAGCATAATTGAAGAGAAAAGTATACCAAACACTAAAATCATCTTGAATTTGTAGCTAGTTACATTTTACTTTGCCGGCAGACCCTTCATTGATAGGTGCCATCATTTTCTTGAGAGCACGTGTGTAATGATAAAAGAAGATGTTTGATTACTTAATCTTGGCAATAGTCACGGTAAAGAATCCTATAAATTATGATAACACCATATCATGCTCACCCAAAATTTTGATTTTCTAATTATGTTGTCTCATTGTGTTCCAACTTCATAAAATGAGGAGTATAGCTTTATAATATTTATAATAATAATTATTTTAGGGTTTCTTTGATAATTATATCATTTTTAGTATTAAATTTGTGTGGTTTATGGGAAAATTTTACGAGGAAATGGAGGGATAAATAAAAAAGACTAGAGGAGAATGTTGGGAAAGATGTTGAAGTAATGTATACACAATATAAAAACTAAAAACAAAAGAAAAAAACTTTTCTAAGTTATTTCACTTTCAAAATAAATTTTGTTTTCAATTTTCTTCTTTATTTCTTTCTTTACTTCCCAGTTCCCACCACCCTTCTTCATCATTCCTTTTCTTCATATACTTTTCTATATACATCTCAAACACAAAAATTTAAAACTAAAAACTAAATAATTATAAAACGAATTCTCATATTGAGGCCCTATTATTCTAGATTAATCAAGAAACTTCTTATCTAAATGTATGGTTCGAATTGACAATCGAATGTGTCAATGTAAAATGTCGTTATTATCTGTCTCCAATTAAACAAATAGGGACTAAAAAATATCTATAACAAGTCAAGGTTATATTGTAGTGATATATTCATATATATATATATATGACTTTTTGTAATCAATAATTCCATTTTTGTAATTTGTCAACATATGAGCTTCTAGTGAGAGTCCAAATTATGAGCTCGTTTGGAAGTTCTTTAAAATGGTTAAAAATATTTTTAGTGAAAATATTTTTGAAATCAATTCTTAATAAAAAAATGCATATAGCACTTCAAGTATTTTTGAAACCCAAAAACATTTTCTCTAAAAACTCTTTCAATAATTTTAAAAGCACTTTCAAACGACTGCTATATTATAACCATCAATTTAGAATTCTAAAGAATGATTTCACTATCGTTTCAGAGAAAGAAATTAGCTTTAGAGACTGCACCAAAATCCCAATGCCGGAGGTGACGGATGCGAAGGTCGAAGCAGCTGCTAATCAAGAAATGCCAAGTGCCCCAGTCATGCTAAGGCTTATACTAATCATGGTTGGAAGAAAGCTTTCCCGCAACCCAAACACATACTCAAGTGTGTTAGGCCTTGTCTGGTCTCTCATCTCATTCAAGTGAGCAAAATTATCATCTGATACTTTTTTTAATCATCCTTCTTAACAGCTCTATTAATTACTCTAACTTACATGCTAGGGCATGCCAATTCATGATTATTTCTTTCATTTTCAGGTGGGATGTAGGGATGCCGAGTTTGGTGAAATATTCCATAAAATTGATATCAGATGCGGGTCTGGGGATGGCTATGTTCAGTTTAGGTATATCATCTTGCAACACAAACATATGCAAATGAATATAATAAACAGGAGAAAGGCTATTATTTCTAACTTTTTTTAAAAGACTATTTTTTAATTTTTTTTTTCGTAGGACATTATTAGTCCTTCGTGTGGCATACTGTTTATTTAGTAATAAAGAGCTTATATTGCCACAATTAATATATATTATGTGAAGAGAAATGCTCAGGAGATTTTTTTCAAAGTGAGACTCTCCATAGATTTTCTGCCACCTCGCAGTTTAACGGTAATTAATTTCCACGCCAACATTATAAAATATTGTGCTAAAAACATAAGGTGGTAGAGACTCCATAGAGAGTATACCCATTTTCAGATAGTCTCCTTCCAGCATTTCTCTTCATATAATAGATATATTAATGTGGCAGTACATTTTTCTAAGAATCTTATTATTGCAAGGAGCTTGCACCTCAAGTCGTAAACAATATTTACGTACTCATACATCGTTATTGAGCTCGAAACATATTCTTGTCAATGCTTTCACAATGTTGGTGTTATTCATTTCTATATTATTTTTCAAAGCGCGAGCAATGAATCACATGAATTGCTTGTAAGGGACAGGACAACATTTACTATCATCATGCCGGAATCTGTAAATATTAGTTCGAAATTGCACTTCTACATATACTGAGGAAACTTTGATGTTTTGGCTCTGAGTATGAAAATGGCAATATCGTTTTGAAAATTTCATGCAGGGTTGTTTATGGCCCTTCAGCCTCGTATTTTAGCGTGTGGCGCAAAAAGGGCAACAATGGGGATGGTGGTCCGATTTATTTGCGGGCCTCTTCTAATGTTTGCTGCCTCTGCCGCTACTGGTCTTAGAGGAGTAAAACTACATGCTGCCATAGTCCAGGTACTGTTTTCTTAAAGAACCTGTGTAATACACATATATATACATGAGTGAGCTCCATAAATAGCCCTGCATATATATATATATCGTATATGTATGCATGCATATATAAATAATCTAGCTAGTCATCTTTTGTTTTTTGTTTTTTCTTAAACAATGATTTTATAAGGGTTTGAAATGTTGAATTGATGATTGACCAGGCAGCGCTTCCACAAGGAATAGTACCATTTGTCTTTGCAAGGGAATACGGTTTGCATCCAGACATTTTAAGCACAGGGTAAGTAAATTTTAATAGGTGAACGTTAAAGCATATTGATCAATAATTTCATTACGATCACTATTCAAGAATATTACTAATAACAATTCCTTTTATATGAGTTTTAACAAAATAAAAATTAAAAAATGAATGCATGTGAAGAGAAAAAAGCAGGGAAAAATGGAAACTTGGTATGAAGTTTATAAAGGTGCTGCTTAAGCCCAAAAAGAGGGAAGGAAAATAAAATATTTGAGTGCTATGGAAAATCTTGAAGTAATTATTGTTGGGGAAATGAGACTAGGCTTTTGCTAGTTTTCATTGTGCACCCTAACCTTCAAACATAAGAATAGACTAAAGAAGAAAGTAAGCTAAAGCATGAAAATCAACAATCTTCTAGTTTTCATCACTTCCCTATCGGCCTGTTTAATTTATTCACACTTCCCTACCGGTTTAATTTATTCATCAGGAGACGATCATGGCAAATGGTAGCAGCTTTGTTAATTATAGTTACAAAGTCAAATGCCACTCCTAGTTTTCTCAATCAACACATCCAATAATCGCTCACGCGTGAAATTTATTGGCGACCCTTTAAAGTGTTTGAGTGTGAAGAAATAAAGTTTAATAAATGTGGAGGGAGTAGTAGGACAGATCATAGATGATGTGCAACTGAAAAAATTGATTTGTCCAATTGGCTTCTGAAAGGGACTTCTTTTCATTGGAAGAGCAAATCACATGCACACACACAATACTGCACAAGTCAATTTAGAGGGAGGGAGGGGGTGGGGGAGGAAGTATCCGAAGCTGCAAAACACTTATTTTGTTCGTGTGCAAAAACCCTAACTACAATATTAATATATATATATATATATATATGTGTGTGTGTGTGTGTGTGTATCTACCTATCTTTGTATTTACTGCATGCTTGGATAAATAACTTATAATGCTATTTTACAGGGTTATCTTTGGTATGTTAGTTTCCTTACCAGTGACGCTCCTCTATTACATACTTCTAGGCTTATATTAACTGAGGAGAAAGAAGATTATGAAAGGCCTGCATTTTCAGTGGATTAAAGCAACATGGAGTATCCAAAGCTAACTATGTTCTTAAATACATTATGTCCTCTAATTGTCTAAGGACCAAACTCCAGAGTGTTATGAGAAAATTAGAATGTGACAAATTATGAAGATGTTTTCAGGGCTCTACTAATGACCTGAGGGGTCTGGTGTCGTAGTAGTACATGGACTAGTGGTAGCCGAAAGGAAGAAGGATATCATGGCTTATGATGAAGTTAGTAGACTTATTTTTCTTCTTGGGGATGGGTAAAGTTTCCACAACCATGAATTTTGACTCAAGAAAGAAAAAAAGGCAAAATCATGTTGCTCCTACTATTTTTCTTCTATTCTTTTTATCCCTTTAATATTTACAGCAATCATTACAAAATAGTTTCGTGCTTTCTGCTAAGACGTTTTATGTGAAACCAAGGAGTTTTATCTTGCAGACGAAGTTTGTCGTAGAGAGAAAGCATGCATGATTCATTAATTATCCTTGTCATAGAAAGCTGGCAGAAATGGATGCTCTCCGTATTTCTTTCACGAAATTTACCAAATTCATCGATTCGGATTTTTGAAATTTAATTCAACAGTTAAAGTTACTATAACCTTTAAAAGGGCCCCTGTTTTTAACCGTTGGATCAAATTTCAAGGGTCTGGATTGGTGGATTTGATTTGGAGAGGATCCCTTTCCAAAAGCTGGCATTCTTGAATGTGGGGGAAATCCAATCACTTTAATAATGTGGGGGAAATTGCGGGGGTTCTGGGCATTCTCTGATTGAAATATATCAGACTCTGCAAATCAAAACAAGGTGTGTAAGATACACACGCTATTCACGGAGTGATAGGAATAATGTAATGACGCTATTCACGGAGTGGTAGGAACTAGGGATGGGCAAATACCCATCGGTTATGGGTAACCGCGGTTATCCGTTCATTTAAATTTCACGGTTACGGTTATGAATAACCGTTTAGATAAATAAACGGTTATAGGTATAATCGTTTACCCGTGAAATTTAAATGGGTGGTTATGAGTATTAACCGCGGTTATAAACGGGTAACCGTTTACCCATTTATTTTATATATGTAAAATTAACACAAACTATGTTCCTTATCGGATAAAACTTAGATCAATGCTATCGACTATAGTGCATGATTTCTGTGGTTAATATAATATAGTTTTGCTTAACCACCTTAAATTTCATGGTCCATTATATATATTATGTTAATACTTTACATTCCGAGTTAAATAACCCAATAATACTGTCTTTTAACAATTTTCATAACCTAAGAATACTTGGCAAATTTTATATTACCTTCATTGTTAACAGTTAAAAGTATCGTCCGTAAACTATTATTTCAATTATTGGAATGATATAAAAACTTAAAAAATTAAAATGCGGAAATGTATGATGAATGTCCCTATAACTGTGTTTAATTGTTAGAAAAAGAAAATTATGACAAATTTTTCTTTTTTAATTTTCAAGTTGTTAAAAAAAACACGTAGAAGGATGCAAAAGGAGTAAATGGTAAAAAAGAAAGGATAAACGGGTTAAAATGATAAATGGGTAAACGGGTACTAAACGGTTACGATTAATTGGGTACACGGTTATGGGTATAGTTAACCATTTATAAACAATTATGAGTATGGGTATAACCGTTTAGGCAATTACCCAACGGGTAAACGGTTATGCGGGTATAAGAATAAACAGTTATAGATAAATAATTGCGGTTACCTGTCCGCTATAACCATTGCCCATCCCTAGTAGGAGTTGAATATTAGAGTGCGCAACGAACGAGATTAACAAAATAATAGGAATATTATTAAACTAACTGAGAATGCCGAAACGGCTACAAAACCCTAAGAGACTATATTGTGAATAGTTTGTTCTCTAATGAATAACTAAGCACCCTATTTATAATAAACTAACCCTAATCTCTAACAAAACCTAATTCTAACGGGCTAAGCCTATAAAACCAAACATTCAAATAAACCAAAATACTAATATTTTCCAACAGTAAGAACAAGTTAAAAAAAATATAGCTTAACTTCTTTTAAGTTCATGTCAAGTTCCTTCAACTCATTCTCAATACAACATAGAATCAATGTTATATTAGCGACGCTTATATTAAATAGCGACTTCATATCAACAACATTTCTTAAATATTGATGCCATTAACAACATCTCAATATTGTCCATTCCGCCGAAGACGGTGACTGCAAACGCAGCCAAAACCCGGAACCCACTACAATCTCTGAATGACGCCAGCAACCATCTTCTCTGATCTGGCAAAATAAATTAAGCATCTATTTGACTCTCTATGATTACTGTCATATTGGTGTGGTTCCAATTCTCTGTATGTAACTAGATTTCTTCTTTTTGTTGTGCTCTTGTTATCATGGGTTTTAAGTGTCGGTCATGCACTTTGCTTTACACAAACAATTATATACAATGTTATGCTGTTGTTTTCGTGGGTTTTGGTTGCTTTAGTACTGGTTTGGTACGGACAACAACAACAACAACAACAACAAAGCCTTTTCCCACTAAGTGGGGTCGGCTATATGAATCCTAGAACGCCATTGCGCTCGGTTTTGTGTCATGTCCTCCGTTAGATCCAAGTACTCTAAGCCTTTTCTTAGAGTCTCTTCCAAAGTTTTCCTAGGTCTTCCTCTACCCCTTCGGCCCTGAACCTCTGTCCCGTAGTCACATCTTCGAACCGGAGCGTCAGTCGGCCTTCTTTGCACATGTCCAAATCACCGGAACCGATTTTCTCTCATCTTGGTTTGGTACGGACGTGATTTAAAAAAAATAGATATAAAAAAAAGTTGAGCTCAAAAATATGTTTGCTAAACATTTAAAAACAGCTTATTTTCACAGTTTTTGGTGAAAAAAAAGCCGAAAACTTGAAGCAACAAAAATAAGGTTATTCTCACAACACAGCAGAATTAGTTTTTTTTTCAAAACACAGCAATACCAAACCAACCCTTAGTGTCTATGTACAAGAATAAAAAGAGGAAGGACATGTCATGAAACTTGACATCAAAGGTGACAGGTATTATGTCTTATATTTCTGATACATTTAATTTGATACAAATAGTATTTATATTGTGTTCAATCCTCACAATCTTAACCATGTGATTCCCAACGAATTTTAGAAGGCCACAGATTAGATTTCTGTGAATATCAACATACACATACCTGGGACATGCATTTTAAGGAAAACTTACCTACTTGTCTGCAGGAGGGCTTGAAGTGGTCTTTGAGAACTAGTGTTAGAGGACATCTTTGAGGATTGTTCTTAATTTATTACATTAGGGTGCGTTTGTTGCACCGGATTATTTCAGACTGGACTAGCTTCAAGGACTAAGCTAGACTGGCTTAAACTAGACTAAGCTGGACTGATTGAGTGAAGTGTTTAGTACTGTATCGGAATAAAGAACATGACTCATATATTATATTACTTAATCTATATTTACAATATTTTATTATTCATTTTATCTATATATACTAATATTTTATTATTAAATTATCTTTTTCATTTCTAGAATCATTTACCATCTTTTTATTCTAGGCAAACTCTCAATCATCTTCCTTCTCATTTTTTTTTTCCAGCCACTGCATCCCTCCCATCTCCCCTTTCTCTACCCTTTTCTATACCACTGTCTCTTTCCCCTTTCTCTTTTATGTCCCGTTATCAATTACTCCTACCCATTTTTTTCCCGACTGACTTCAAATTACTTTGGCCTTCTTCTTTTTCTTCAAATTATGAAACTTTGTATTTATTTTGTTTCACCTGAAACGGCTTGGCGCGGGAGCTACGGTATAGCGGATGGATCTGAAATTGTGGAGATTGTTTTCGGATTCTAGGTCCTTGAGGTCGAGATCGTTATCTTTGTTTTCTAGGTCTGGTTTGAGTTCAATTGACAAAAATAGAGAACCCAATTCCGCATATCGAATCAATTGTTCCTTCTTGAAGCAAATAGGGGAAATCTGGGTTGTGGGTTCATCAGGAAGTAAGTAGGGAGTTGGGTTGTGGGTTCGTCGGCGTGAAGGCAGAATTTTGGTGATTGGGTTTGCGGAACGTTGGTGACTAGGTTCCTGTAGTCTAGCAGGATGAGGAGAGAGGGAGAGAGTGTGGTGGTTTGGTGGTGTGATTTCGGAGTGAGGACGGAAAGCTAGCAACGCAAGCAGTAGCAGAAAGAGGTCTTAGCAGTCCCATGGTTATTGGGGGGTCTCGCTAAGACCTCTTAGCGAAGGGTTTTGTCCATGCGAGTCCCCTATAGTCTCATTAATGTTAATCTCAGCACGGAACAAACAGGGTATTGGACTAACAGTTAGTTCAGTCCCATTTAGTGAGGGCAAACAAACACCCCCTTAATGATTATTCTCTGGATTGTAAGTACCTCATTTTTCTAATATATTACATTGGTGGTTGTGACGACAATGCCCTCATAAATAGTAATTTATTGTTGGAAATAGAATTTTTAATGGCAAGTATTGGTTGAAAATATGTAATCGCAAAAAATATACGTTGTCGTTGGGAAAGTATTTTCGACAATCATATAGGTACGTCTTCGCGACTATATTGACATGTCAAAAATGAAATAAGTTTGCCGCTTAAAAAATTTATTCTGACAGAAAGATAACTAATAACAACGAGTGATGTGCGTTGAAAATAAAGTAATTTTGACAGTTGATCGCAAAAAAATATTTAATGGAAGAATTTCCAACGACTAGAGAGGGCTTTTTTCCCTCAGAAAAACTTTTTGGACGGCTAAATGCCTTTTTCGACAACATGTAGTCTCTCTCAAACCAATTCGTATTGTTGTGCATCTTCTCTTATCTCTACCTTTAAATCATCAAATTGTCAATTGGTGGAGGGATTTGATATCCAATCTCTACTTCTCCATTGTCTTCAGCTTCATCGCAACCACCACTGCGCTGATTTTTAGCCACCAATGTGTCATCACGAACAACCACCACCACCACTTATAGCTCATACATTTCATGCATGTATACCATCCATTTATAGTCTTTTTTGCGTTTTACTCTATTTTGTGTTTGTGTACAATTACTTGTATTCTAGGATCCATTTGAGGGCAAAAGAAGTAAGAATTGGCATTATGGGAGTTTGAGAGAGAATCACATGTGGAGAGGTGAAGATTGGTGTTGATTTGAAATCCAAATAAGGTTTAGAGATAACTCAAGATGAATCTAGCTTGCTAAGAAAACCAAGAGCAGAATGACAGATGAATGAGATTTCTAATCTGATTTGGAGATGTCAAATAAAGAAAATGTTCAAATAAAAAAATTAGTTGTTGGGATATCCTTACAATTTGCTACAGCCTTTTTTTTACCACATAAGAACGTGTATTTCAACCACCTTTACATACACCTTTCATTTTGGACGAATTTCACAACTCCAGCCATCCATCTTTCTCATTTTTCATTCACACTCAAAGGAATAGCCGTTCCATACACTTCCACCATTCACACTCATCTCAAAAGGTTGTTCTTAAAAAAGTTCAACATCATAATTGCTTCAAGGGTTTTTCTCTTGAATTACTTCACTCATGTTTTGTATTTTTATTTCAATTTTTGTGGGATTTCGATATATCCTTGTAAAATTGATCCATGTTATAGATAAAGTATTGAATTCATCAATATGTTTCTTATTTCATTCACATAATCTATTGTTTAATTTGTTTGTTTATCTTAATGCTTGATAACCGTTAGGGCTGCCTACAGATTATTTGATCAAGGTTGTGGTACACGTCATACTTCATCTTGGTGGACATATGAATGAGTGAAAAGAATGCTATGCAAACATCATGTTGTGTATTTTCTTTCATTATTTGAGTTTTCTTGCATGCTATTGACTCTTAATTTGGAATTGAAGTTGCACGTCCCATTTAGTTTGCAGATTAGGAGAATTTGATCAAAATCACACATCATATGGCTAATCATATATATGTAAAATGAACTTTGGAAACAGGGTAGTAGTTGAATACGGCTTAACTTGATAAACATGGAATTGGTCGTGTAATGTGTGAATTCGAAATCCCTGGTCCCATCCTCATTGATTCCAAATCAATATAATTTGTATTATTTTCTTTCATTTTAAGTTATTTTCATTTACAACACAAAAACCATATTCAATTTGTTACTTTCATTGTTTAGTTAGGTTTCTCTCAAAGCTAGTAATTTACAGAGGTCCAATTAGTCCATGCGGTTCGACACCCTTATTTTCTCAAGTAGTATATGCCAAATAAACTTACCGAGATAAGCCAAAGACTTGAACGGATAAAGGGCAACATTATTGAGACCTTTGTGTCACCTAGTGCTCAAATTAACCGAAAGGAACAGGACAAAAACTCTTCTAGATTAGCAAGTGTAGAGGTCACCTAGTGCTCAAATTAACCGAAAGGAAGAGGACGAAAACTCTGTTAATGTGAGTGGTATTTAAAAGGGTATGTAATTATATTGTAAATATTAGAATCCTTTATTAGGAAGGTTAGTTGTGTGTATTTTATTGTTTCCTTATAGAACAAGAATTGTATCTTGTATATATTGTCTATTATGCAATACAATAAAAATTAAGCCGTAAAATTCTATTTGGTATCAGAGCCAACTGTAACCCTAGAACTCCCACCGTGCCGCTGCTACCGTGAAATAAAAAATAAAAAAAAAGGTCCGGCAGTCTGTGGTCTCTGCCGCATCCCTGTAGCAAGCCTAGACTGATGCCCGTGCCTTGCTCATTGGTGCATATGTACCTAAACGGTTCTGGCTTGAAGCTGTCACTTATGCCGTGTATGTGATTAACCGTATGCCATCCCGGGTTATGGATTTTCGTACACCTTTCCAAGTATTGACAGAATTTGTTCCAGTAGTGTCAACCAATACTCTATCTCCTCGTATATTTGGGTGTGTAGCCTATGTTCATATTCACAAGATTCATCGTAGTAAGCTCGATCCATGTGCTCACCGGTGTGTTTTTCTGGGATTTGCTCCTCAACAGAAAGGGTATAAGTGCTACCACCCTAAAACTCGTCATATGTATGTAACTATGGATGTTACATTTTCCGAATCCGAGTTCTTTTATGCTTCGACTCCATCACCTTCCGATCACCCGGGGGAGAATATGAGTGGTGATCTTGGGTGGTTGGAAATATGTAGCTCAAGGGGAGTATTTATTGACAAAAAAAGTTGTGAAAGCTCTTGGCAAGACACTGCCGAGAATGGAGACAGTGAATCTCGGCAAGACATTGCTGAGAATGTGAGTATCATTCAACCAAGTAGCACTGAACCAGTTGAGTCTTCTAGCCAATGTGTTGCCGAGTGTGATGCAGAGTGTCAGCAAGGAGTTGCCGAACCAGTTTCACCGCTCCAGCAACCATTAGCTACCGAACCTGCAACCCCCTCTCTCTCAAGCTCAATAGTTCCACCCAATATATCTTCTCTGAATATTCCTGAGGTAAGTACTACTGATACTCATGTAACTAATCCAGATAATATTATGAGTACATATAAGTTGCCGCCAAGGTAAAATCGTGGTGTTCCTCCTGACAGGTTTTCTCCTGAAGGAAAAGTGAAGTATCCAATAACTAATTATGTGTCATGCTCAAACCTTGCACCAGAACGTCAAGCCTGGGTAAACAATGTGGAAGCAATCCAAGCACCAACCCGAGTTGAGGAGGCCTTAAAGGATCCTAAATGGGCTACTGCGATGGATGAGGAAATGATGGCACTACATAAGAATGATACATGGGAGGTAATAGAGCTACCTAAAGGAAAGAAACCAGTTGGGTGTAGATGGGTCTTTACGATCAAATACAAGGCAGACGGATCGGTAGACAGGTATAAAGCAAGGTTAGTAGCAAAAGGTTATACTCAAACTTATGGTGTTGATTATCAAGAGACATTTTCTCCAGTAGCGAAGATGAATACAGTACGAGTTCTGATTTCTTTAGCTGCAAATTTGAATTGGCCATTAAAACAGTTTGATGTGAAATATGCTTTTCTTCATGGGAACTTGGAAGAAGAAGTATATATGGATTTTCCTCCGGGGTACGATGCCGGAGGGAAAACCGGAGTATGTAGGTTGCGAAAGTCACTCTATGGACTTAAGCAATCGCCTCGTGCGTGGTTTGGTAGATTTACCCAAGTTATGAGGCGGATTGGGTATTATCAAAGTCACTCAGATCATACATTATTTGTGAAACGAGGAAGTGGTAAAGTGACAGCCTTAATTATTTATGTGGATGACATGATAATAACAGGTGATGATTCAGAAGAGATGATGAAGCTAGAGCAAAACCTTGCCACCGAGTTCGAGATGAAGAATTTGGGAGATTTGAAATATTTTCTTGGCGTGGAAGTTGCTCGGTCATCTAGAGGTATTTTCTTGTCTCAACGTAAATATGTTCTGGATTTATTGAAGGAAACAGGGATGCTTGGGTGTAAACCCGTGGATACTCCCATTGTGGAGAAACATTACTTGGGAATTTATCCAGATCAAGAACCAGTGGATAAAGGCAGATATCAGAGATCGGTAGGAAGACTAATTTATTTAGCTCATACCCGTCCAGATATAGCCTATGCAGTAAGTGTGGTGAGTCAGTTTATGCACTCGCCAAGTGTGGATTATATGGCAGCTGTTATGCGGATTTTAGCTTATTTGAAGTCGGCTCCAGGAAAAGGAGTTTTGTATAAAAATTCTGGTCATCTGAGGATTGAAGGATTTACTGATGCTGATTGGGCAGGTGATGTAACTGATAGACGCTCTACTTCTGGATACTTTACGTTTGTTGGAGGAAATCTAGTTACTTGGAGGAGCAAGAAGCAAAACGTGGTGTCAAGATCGTCAGCTGAGGCCGAATTCAGAGGTATGGCGCATGGAATATGTGAAGTCCTTTGGTTACGTAAGTTACTTGATGGTTTAGGTTTCAAAGCAAAAGAGGCGACAAGTTTGTATTGTGATAATAAATCCGCACGGGAGATTGCAGAGAATCCGGTACAACATGACAGAACAAAGCATGTGGAGGTTAATCGTCATTTTATTAAGGAGAAGCTGGAGAAGAAAATTGTTTCGATACCGTTTGTGAACTCGGAAGAGCAACTTGCGGATATCCTCACACATGCCATGTGTAGTAGATCTTTTTGTGACTCACTTGTCAAGTTGGGCATGTGTGATATTTATGCTCCAACTTGAGGGGGAGTGTTAACGTGAGTGGTATTTAAAAGGGTATGTAATTATATTGTAAATATTAGAATCCTTTATTAGGAAGGTTAGTTGTGTGTATTTTATTGTTTCCTTATAGAACAAGAATTGTATCTTGTATATATTGTCTATTATGCAATACAATAAAAATTAAGTCGTAAAATTCTATTAACTCTTCTACTCTAATTCTGACCAAGAAGAAGACATGGCAGACAATAACAAGATAATTGAGTTTTGGAAGATTATGCTCAATCGGTTATACTAGATTCACCTTCGTGCATCTTACTGCCCACTAGAGCTAGAAGCTATGATCTCAAATCTTTACATTTTCACATGCTTCATTCTTTTTATGGTTTACCTAACAAAGATTTGTTAACTCATATTAAAGAATCTTTGCTGGGAGTGAGTGAAGCTAACCTAAAGATGAAGATTTTTTCCTACACCTATTTAACGATAAAGCTAAGGATTAGCTAATGGCTATAGCACCTGGTTCGCTCACCACTTGGGATGTCGTAGCTAAGAATTTTTAAGGAAGTTTTTCTCTACTCAAAAGACAACCGTAAGGGTTTAGGGCCCAAATGTTCAACTTTGCACAACATGATGGAGAACCCTTCAATGAATGTTAGGAGCGTTTCAAGGGTTTTTGCTATAATGTCCACATCATCAGATACCTTTTTACTTACACATGCATTTTTTTTTAAGATGGACTTAGTCCAAACATGTCAATTTGAAGAAAAAATATATTCAAGAGTCATATAACATTTATGGGATGTTGGGATCTGATGCTCAACCCAAAAAGATGCAAGAGCTATATGAGCTGGAGTGTATGAAATGGGCTCTAATAATGATCTTGCTTTGCAAGAGTTTGATTCCTATTATTATTTATTTATTACTTTCCTAATAAATTCATTTTCTTGATGCATATGTTGATTGATTAATGAATTCTCCTTATAGCGTTTCGATCAAATTTGTTTTTGCATGTTGAATTTTTTTAAGCTATAATTTTAGAATTAAATTTTACAAATTAATATTTATGGTGCGACTTCATTCTTACCTCAATTAGTTTGGAATAGTTTACACAAATTCAAGTTTTATTTAGTTTGAATCAATCAAATGTACATTTGTGTATTTTCTATCATGTGTCTATGGTTGAAGCTAAATTCGAAACTGAAAAAAAAAAGTGTAGAATAGAAATTAATTCTAAGGTAATTAGTGTGAGGTTTATACCTAAACATAGCTAGGGTTACCCACTATCATTATAGTCTAGTTGTTTATTCTCTATTATAAGTATGAAATTTTGAGAACATTTTTGTTCATCACCTTATTTATCACCCTTAGATGAGTTTGAATTTTCAGATTTGTGCCTATTCATTACATAAATCTCGAAATTCAAACTCATCTAACGATAAAAAAAAATGAGGTAATAAGCATACACTATACTAAATGGAGATAAACAAAAATGCAGTCTGAAATTTTATGTTTGACTTACATAGACTGAGATTCTCACATGTTTCCATATTAAATCCACTAGAAGTTCTTGGATTCTGCTTTCAAATAATTTCCTTTTTCATTATTATATTTGGGCTTATTATACAGTATTATGAAGCCCAAAACCAAAGAATAAGAAGCCCAGGGATTAGAGCTTGTCTTGTACGTGTTTAAAGCAAGACGAGACAAATTGTTTTTTTTTTTTAATTTTACACTTGGTTGACACGTAATTAGAATATCTTGGTTGGTCGGTAACCATGCCAAAACTAAATACAGTAGGAAATTGGTTGGCCCCCACGCTATTAGAACAGCTTATATAGTATGGAGAGGATCTCTTTTTACCAAATCCATCTAATTCGAGATTCAGGCTGTTAGATTTTGATCAAACAGCTACAGTTATTATAACTTTTAAAGGAGCCCCCTGTTTGTAGTCATTGGATCAAATTTCAACACCTCGGATCTCGGACTAAACGAATTTGATGGAAAGGGATCCGGAGAGGATCTGTATAAGTATACTCTGATGTAATATTTTGTCAACAAAATAAAGATACTTAAACAAAGCTTACACATCTCTATTTTTATTGACATTAAGGCCTCTAGCTCGGACTGTACTGACTATTTCAGTCGGATAGGATAATTTGTCATCGGCTAGTACTGACTAATTAGTGGGGCGTTTGGTGCATTGTCGTATTATTTGTATTGTGTTTGTATTGTACCGGATAAAAGAACTTATAACTATTATTTTTTAAGAGAAAAAAATTAATCATTAATGAAAAAGAAAAAGAATAAAAAACAAAAAACAAAGTTGTCAAATGCAAAAAGAACCTAGTTTGATGATTAATGGAAAAGAAAAAGAATAGGGGAAAAAAAAACAAAGTTGTCAAATGCAGAAAGAACGCAGTTAGTGGCACCGCCACCGTTGGCTTCATTGTATGCCACCGCTAGCTTCCTCATATCCATTGAGACCTTAGTCCACGTCAGAAATACATTCTAAAACCCAGCAGCCATTACACCATTATCCACATGAAATCTCCCCCAATTTTGAATTTAATCCCCACACACCAACAAAATCTGTTTGTATCATACTTAAGGCCTTCGTATTTAGATCTCGTATAAATACTCAGGGGACTCAAATGTAATTATGTAATAAAGGAAGGGGCAAATATGTAATAAGTGATGAGCCCTTATTCTATAAAAGGGACTCCTCACCCTCACAATTAGGAGGCCTCACTCTCAAACCACAAGCCCCATCACCCTCTCAAAGCCTTACTCTCACATTACAGAGGCTCTTTCCCTCACAATCCTCTCAGAGACATACAATATCAATGTGGACGTAGCCCAAACATTGGGGTGAACCACGATACATCTTGTGTTATTTACTTTCTTGCAGATTCACGATCGGATTTACGTTGTTCCAAGACCCCTCTGGTTTTGTGCATCAACATTTGGCGCCGTTTGTGGGAAATGATACGAAAAATTGTGTCGGTTCTCTTTCATTTTTTCACCTCCACCATGAATCTGCAAACAACTTCTAGTACTATCAAATACAATTCAACCCCAGTTTCTTCTAGCTTTCCGTCTAAACACCTCCATTAAACACATCTCTCTTTCTCTCCCTCGATTTTCGTGTTCCATTTCAACTTTTGTTAAAGCCCACTATCTTTCTCCCATTCCAAGAACTCTCTCCCAGCTGGAGAGAAGATAAAAAAAAACAGCTTAATTTAAGCACTTTGAGATCTAGGATTTGTGAGTTGTGCTTGCATTTTCAGTCTTTTTTGTGCTATCTCTGAAGTTTCTTTGAGCCTCAGCTCCAAGCAGAGATTTTGGGTTCCGGGTTTTAACCTTTGAAACATTTCATGTTAAAAAATAGGGAGCAAATGGAGGAAATTAGAGCTTGCACTGGGGCTGAATCTGTGTTTACATCTTCCTAAAACATTAGAATATTCATCATCCTCCTTTGTGGACTCAGCTGAAAGGTTGTCTGATGCTGCCCTACTTTCACCTGCCAATTGGGCCAAATATGGTGTGAAGCTCCAGCGCCGGAGATCCTCCGCTGGAGAACCGATGGTCCCTGACGGCCACGTCCCGGTCTACGTCGGTGACGAGATGAAGCAGTTTGTGGTCAGCGCCGTGCTCCTGAACCACCTAGTTTTCGTCGAACTCCTTAACAAGTGGGCGCAGGAGTACGGTTAGGAGCAGAAGGACGTCCTCCGGATCCCCTGCCATGTGATCGTCTTCAAGCGCGTGCTCAAGGCGCTCCGTCTCAGACAGGCCCCCTCACGTGACCTGCACGATCTCCTGAACTCGATCTTTGACGACTTGAGATCCTGGGAAGGAATATTGATAAAATCCGTATGAAGAATCTCGAAAAAGTTTGCACTGATCTGGTTCGTGGTGCTAAGGATAGACACATACGGGTGAAATGACCCGTAAGGATGCCTACCAAGGTTCTGAACATTACCACCAGGAAGTCTCCATTCCAGCATAAACTAAAAAAAATTTAAAAAAAAAAATGACAGAAAATCCAGCAGCGATACGTTTTGGCATAACAAGATGCGTCGACATAGCCAGAAAATGAGCTCGAGCCATAAAGCTCGCACCCAACACCACCCTTTACGCTATCGCCAGCCGTTCAATTGACAAAGCCCGGAAATTCGCAGTCGACAGTGGACTCTTCGGAGTCGTCAAGATCTCCGAGAGCTAAAATCAGCTGTTCAACGATCCATGTAGAGTTACGGTGTACATACCCCTGCCCACAAGTCTTCGCTTGCACTGGGCGGTGTTGGCTCCTCGAAAGAAGAAGAATTTGCTTTTGGAAAAACCAACGGTTCTGGATGTGAGTGAGCTTGATCAGATACTAGAAGCGTGTGAATCCAACGATGTACAGTTCATGGATGGTAGCATGTGGTTGCATCATCCCAGGACTGCCAAGTTGAAGGACTTGGTTTCTGATCCCAAGCTTTTTGGTCAGATTGACATTGCTCAGTTTCAGTATACGGGGACAGAAATTTCGGTCCGGACCCTGCGTCTGCCCCGGATTTGAAAACGGTCAGATGCCAAGTAGAACAAGATTTCTACAAAAAAAAACCCACGATAAGCACTCATGAATAAGATAAGAAGATGCCCACCAAGGTTCCCCATCTCCTTTAATCATTGTCTTCAATGCACAGAAGCAAGAAAATCATCAACCAGCTCTAAGAAAGCAAAAGTGGAATAAAAGAAAGAGGAAAGAGTTGGAGAGTAACGTGTAATCCGTTGTCAAGTGGGCTTGCTGGTTAAAAGGAACAGAATAGAAAAAGAAAAAAAATCATGATGTTAAGAGAATGTTTCAGAAAAAGAAAAAGAGGAAGAGTGGGAAACAAAAGCAGAAAAGCAGAAAGAAAAGCAAAAGCAGAAAGCAAAAGAAGATAAAAAGAAGCAGACATAATTGCGGTGGTGATGGCATTATGAGCGTGACCCATTAAGCAGAGGGTCAGATTTATTTTTGAATGATATGATTTATTTTTCTTATCTTTTAGAGACATCTGTATAAACCCCATCAGAGGCTAATAATTAAAAAAAAAAAAACAAGCCTAAAATAATGGGCTGGAATGTTACGTGGAGGGCGAAGGCCCATATGCCCAAAAGAGCCAGGCCCTCTATTATCACCAACTAAGTGATCAAAAGTACGTCCAATACTCCAAAATTATACATGAGTATCACTCATGTCAATCATAAACATTCATGAACATCATTCATGAGCATCAGTCATATCAACATTCATGAGCATCACTCATATAAACATCCATAAGCATCACTCATGTCAATCAGGTTCAAAGCTTCATTTACAGAGCTTCAGCTTCAAGAACTCCAGCTTTGAAAGCTTCATTTACGAAGCTCCGACTTCAAAGCTTCATTTACAAAAGCTCCAGCTTCAAAGCTTCACTTGCAAAGCTTTACCTATAAATCTTCAATGCAGGGTATATAAATACCGCCTCCGAACAACCGCCACTTCGGCCCATACATGGATTCAATTTAAAGTCTTTAGCCAACAGCCTCTATTGACTGAAGACTTGGGGGACTACACTATGTACCATATATTGGGCTTTCATGAAAAATACTTGGGGGACTTAGCCCATTATTTATGTACTAAGGAGTGAGCCCATATTTTATAAAAGAGACTCCCTTATTTTCATTAGAGAGCACCCATTATTTATATACTGAAGAGCGAGCCCTTATTTCATAAAAGGAACTCCCTCACTTTCATTATAGAGCACCCATTATTCATGTACTGAGGAGCGAGCCCTTATTTTATAAAAGAGACTCCCTCACCTTCATTAGAGAGCATCGCCGCCAGCTGAGCAACCGCCTCGCCGCGAGCATCACTCATAACCCATTATTCATGTACTGAGGAGCGATCCCTTATTCTATAAAATGGACTCATTCACTTTCATTAGAGAACACCCATTATTCATGTACTGAGGAACGAGCCCTTATTTTATAAAAGGGACCCCCTCACCTTCATTAGAGAGGATAGCTGTCAGCTAAGCAACCACCTCGCCGCGAGCATCACTCCTAACCTATCACTTATGTATTGAGGAGCGAGCCCTTATTCTATAAAAGGGACTTCATCACCATCATTAGAGAGCATCGCTGCCTACTAAGTAACCGCATCGCCGCGAGCATCAACTCTAGCCCATCATTTATGTATTGAGGAGCGATCCCTTATTCTATAACAAGGACTCTTTCACCTTCAACACCACAAGCCGAGCCAACCAAGGCAACATAAGCCACAAGTCGAACAGCCTCGCAACATGTGCTACTTTTAGTTGAGCATCATTTCAGATTGAGCATCGCTTCATATCGAGTATTTAGTTCTAGATGACATCTAGTTACTTTGGCCCACACATGGACTGAATTTCAAGTCTCCAGCCAAAAGACTCTATTGACTGAAAACTTGGGAGACTACTGTTTATACCATACTTAGGGCCTTCGTATTTAGATCTCGTATAAATACTCAGGGGACTCAAATGTAATTATGTAATAAAGGAAAGGGAAAATGTGTAATAAGTGAGGAGCCCTTATTCTATAAAAGGGACTCCTCACCCTCACAATTAAGAGGCATCACTCTCAAACGACAAGCCCCCTCTCCCTTTCAAAGCCTCACTCTCACATTACAGAGGCTCTCTTCCTGACAATCCTCTCAGAGAAATACAATATCAGTGTGGACGTAGCCCAAATATTGGGGTGAACCACGATACATCTTGTGTTATTTACTTTCTTGCAGATTCACGGTCGGATTTAAATTGTTCCAAGACCCCTCCGGTTTTGTGCATCAACAGAATCAATTAGCAATTAAGCCACAAACCCAGATATTCGAATCGCGATGCCCAGAAATGGAGGTCGCAATGCCTAGGAACAGAGGTCACGATGCCCAGAAACATAGGTTGCAACACCAAAGACGGAGGTCACGATGCCCACTTAGGTTCGATCTGCTACCTCTAGTTCTTTGTTTGTATCTGTTTGGTGTGGATCGTTCAATCTACTACCTCTGGATCTCTGTTCGTATCTGCTTGGTGTTAATCGGAGGCTGCGACCCTCAAGAACAGATGGCAGAATAGGTCTAAGAAAGACGAGTGTGTTTTTTCTTTGGTAGGAGTCCGACTAATAATACCAAGGTTGTAGAGGGGATAATGAAGCAAGTGGGAGGGGCATTAAAATGGTGAGGCCAAATCAAATAATTCGGTGCTTATTTAATACCAAACTTATCAAACACCCGTTTCGTACTATTAGTGTTATCCGATGATCTTATATGACATGCCAAACGAGGCCTAAAAGCTATCATTGTGGTATATATCTGTTTTTTTATATATGCTACAGCCAATGACTAGGGGTGGGCATTTGAAACCAAAAATTGAAACTGAAACACGAATTGAACCGCACTTAGCGGTTTGGTTTTACGGTTTTGAAACGGTTTCGATTTCGAAACCGAATCGCAACAAAGAAAACGGTTTGGTTTCGGTTTTGGTTTTTCAAAACCGCACCGAAACCAAAACCGAAACTGAAACCGCATGGTATGTTTTAAACTTTTAATTAGTTCAACTAGGTTACTGGACTATCATCCAATTTTTCACTTCGAGTCCTGAAGGTTGAAACTCATCTTCATCTTTTCCTTAAAAGTTAAAACTTATCTTCATCTCTCTCTCAAAACTCAAAACTCAAAACCCATTGATGCATTGGATGTTGTCTCAATTTTAGTAGTTGTCATTTGTTGCAGTTTTGGTACATGTTAGCTGCTGTTTTTTGTTGCAGTTTTGTTGCAATATTAGACTATATGTGGTGACTGATGTTGCATATGGCTAATGCTACATATGGATATTAGACGATATGAGGTGACTGATGCTGCCAGATTTTATGTTTCATCTTTCCATGGGATTCTCTAATAAATCTAATCCCTTAATTTGAGGAAGATTGACATCTAGATGCTGCCAAATTTTATATTCCTCCTTTTTTGTAGTTTTGCCGCTGTTTGTTGTTGTTTTTGTTGCATATTCATTCATTAATATATGAGGAAAATAAGACCGTCTTATGCATAAATAAGTGTATATTTTAAATTGTACATTTTTTTCTCAAAAACCAAACCGAAATCGTTTGAAACCGCACCGAACCAAACGGTTTGGTTTCATTTCGATTTTGGCTTCAAAACCGCACCGAACCGTACAACAAAAAGTTTCGATTTCGGTTGCGATTTCACTCGAAACCGTACCGAACCGTATCGCTCTCACCCCTACCCATGCCATACAATTTGAGGGAAAGGGATAGGATCCCTCCCACCCCCACCCTCAATCATCTAATCGGGATCCTTGAAATTTGATCAAACGGCTAAATTTATTATAACTTTTAAAATGATTCCTTATAATCGTTGGACTAAATTTCAAGAGTCTAAATTAATTGATTGATTCGGAGATGATCCTTTTTCCAATTTGAGCACGCGTAAAGCGGTAATATGGCCCCTAAAAACAATATCACTATGCCGCCACGTGCCTTCAAATAATCAAATGTTAGCCACGTCGCAAAATCCGGCGGAAACAAGGGCGCCGATGGTACTAAAAAGCAGAAACGGTCGTGGTCCAAATCCATTGGCGGTTTTGGTTTTACAAAACTAGAGTTTGCAAGCAATAAAAAATTCAAAATTCAAAAGTAGTTATATGATTTATTATTCAAGTAACCAAGTAAACTAAAATTTTAGATTAAATTTATAAATTATGTAATATGTCATCAATATAAAATAGGGAACTTTAACGAAAAGCTATCGATACCATTCAGTTTAACGAAAAACTCTCGTTACCGTTCACTTTAACGAAAAACCACATTTTTACACTAAAAAGTCAATCCTAGTACTATTCACTTTACCTTTTATTTTGTCCTTATCGTTAAAACTCAAAGTTTTCGAACCATTTTCATTAATTTTCCTTATAAAATAAGCTTGTTAATCAATAATTTAATAATATTATCAACAATAATATCATATAATTTATAAAATATAGTTTAAATAAATAATTTTTCTATCAACTTGGATGATTTCTTAGATGCGTACACAGAATTGATCACAGAGAAGTTTAGTTTGGGCTGCAAAGCTTCGGTGGAAAATGGTATTTTCGTTCGTGGTTTGTTTTATTCTGTCACCAATATAAATAGTTTGCATTCACTTTCTCCTGTATCCAAAACCAAAAGCACCGTCTTTTGAACATCATCAATTATACTACTTATAGCAAAAATACATCAAACATCAAAAGAAAAAGAAGCTCATCCTCTATAATGTCTACAGCTGGTCAGGTTATCAAATGCAAAGGTAAGCACCGACCATAATTGATCGATTGATTTACCGCTTTGATAGATTGTCATGTTCATCACTCTGATCATGCTTGATCATGTTTCTTGTTAAAACTCTTTTGTTAGACTTGGATTCTCTTTTCTTTGGGGTGATCAATTTCCTTTCTTTTATCTTTTTACATGATCCTACTGCTGTTTTATATTTCTTTTTAATATAAAGATGCTTGGGATTTTCTATTTTGTTTTAAATATTGTTTATAATTGGTAATGATGAGGATGAGGATTTGGTTTTCGAGGATTTCATGAGAAGTTAAATTTTAGTTTCGAAAATTTCGAAATTGATCAAAAAGATATTAACTTGGCAGCGGACTGAATAATCTGCTGTAATGAATTTTTGTCTCTATTTTTCCATAAATTGTAGCTTTCATTACATGTTGTCAACCTTGATCTTGTTGACGGTAATTGTGGGAAAAAATACTGATTTTATCGATGTATTTGTCGCTAATCGCGTTGGGATTTGTCGGTTGCAGCCGCGGTGGCATGGGAAGCGGGGAAGCCACTGTCAATTGAGGAAGTGGAGGTGGCACCACCGCAGAAACATGAAGTTCGCTTGAAGATCCTCTTCACCTCTCTTTGCCACACCGATGTCTACTTCTGGGAAGCCAAAGTAAAAACTTCAACTTGGAATGACATTTTCTACTTTAATATCTGCGTATCGATAACTACATCATTAAGCATGATTCTTCATATGTTTATAGTACTTAGTCTATAACTTGCAATTGATTAGTGAAGTTAACCATGATTTTGAGTGCTAAATCTAATGTGATGACAAATCCTATACATGGCATTTTCGTGCTTAGAATGTCAGCTGTTGGAATTGAAACATATATGTTGTGTGACAGGGACAACAACCGCTGTTTCCTCGCATTTTTGGTCATGAAGCTGGAGGGTATGTGCATCATCTCTGAATATTAAACTACATAATTTGTAATTAACTTAGTATTTGCTTTCATTTTACGCAGTTTGTTTACTTGTCTAAATTGTGTTTGCTTAACATTTTGTGTTTAGAGTTGTGGAAAGCGTAGGTGAGGGCGTAACCGAACTCCAGCCGGGTGACCATGTCCTCCCTGTGTTCACTGGGGAGTGCAGGGAGTGCGCGCACTGTAAGTCGGAGGAAAGCAACATGTGTGATCTGCTGAGGATCAATACTGATAGGGGTACCATGATCAATGATGGCCAGTCCAGGTTCTCCAAGGATGGAAAACCAATTTATCACTTTGTAGGTACTTCTACCTTCAGTGAATACACCGTTTGTCACGTTGGCTCAGTTGCTAAGATCAACCCGGCTGCTCCCCTTGACAAAGTTTGTGTTCTTAGTTGCGGAATATGCACAGGTTCGAAAGACTTCTCCCATTTTGACAGTTAAAAACTTGGAATCAGAAATTAGGGATTTTTCAACTTTTCTTCCTGGAGTAATCAATTAATTGTTTCTGTTGGTGTATTTGAAGGTTTTGGTGCCACTGTGAATGTTGCAAAACCGAAAAAGGGTTCTCTATTGCCATCTTTGGATTGGGAGCTGTTGGTCTTGCTGTAAGTCATTCTTATTGCTCCTCTGTTATGGCTCTTTTGGATAGGCTCTTTTGGATAGTTTGGAGTATTGTAATGATTTTCTTGGTCATCTTGTTACATTTTAGGCTGCTGAAGGTGCAAGGGTTTCGGGCTGTTCAAGGATCATCGGTGTTGATTTGAATCCCAGTCGCTTTGAGGAAGGTCAGTCAATATGATTATACATCTATTTAACGATTAAGGACTTAGTTACGCGTCGTCATGTCTGGTTGAGATGTCATTCGCTAAATAATTTCTATACTTTATGGCAGCCAAGAAGTTTGGGGTGAATGAATTCGTGAATCCGAAAGATCATAACAAACCTGTGCAAGAGGTTAGTTACAGAAATCTCTTTGATATATGTTTGTGTCCGATTGATTAGAGAGCATTCCCATTTCCCCATTGGGTGCTTCTCTTATTTTTAACACTCCATTTAGTGTTAGTGATTATCAGCTCTTAGCGACTAACATTTGACTTTGATTAAAAGGTGATTGCTGAGATGACCAACGGCGGAGTTGATAGGAGTGTTGAGTGCACCGGAAGCATCCAGGCTATGATCTCTGCGTTTGAATGTGTTCATGATGTAAGTAATTCTAAACCACTTTTTGTTGTTTAATCAGCTAAGATGCTAGAATATGCAACAATATTGCTATCAGAATGTAAAATCATACTTTTTCTTTCTAAATTTAGGGTTGGGGTCTCGCTGTACTTGTTGGTGTGCCAAACAAAGATGATGCATTCAAAACCCATCCAATGAATTTCTTGAACGAGAGGACTCTTAAGGGTACCTTCTATGGTAACTACAAGCCCCGCACCGATCTACCAGGTGTTGTGGAGAAGTACATGAACAAGGTATATTTCTTTTACAACCAAGTTCCCGAAACCACCCTAATTTTTCGTATTTTAAGTATCATGTCCTTTGCCTAAAGGCCTAAGCTTTTAGGTTGGATATTTCTTGTGAATTTGTTTGCACAACTAGTTAGTTTCGAAACTGGCAATGTGGTAAGACTGAACTTGTTTGATCTTGCAGGAGCTGGAAGTGGAGAAATTCATCACTCATTCGGTCCCATTCGCTGAGATCAACAAAGCGTTCGACTTGATGCTTTCTGGACAGTCCATTAGGTGCATCATCTGCATGGAGAATTAGAGAAAAAAAACTAGTTTTGTTATGCAAAACTAGTTTGGTTATGGATCATCAAAGCAAAGCAATACAGTCCATTAGGTCCATTAGGTGGATCATCTGCCTGCAGAATGGAGGGAATTTATATATCTATCTGATGTCTATTCGAATAAGTTTTGTTATGGATTTGAGGGTTTTTGCAAATTTGGAGAGGAGAAGCAACTTACAGTATTGCTGTGCTTTAAAAAATAAATTGCTTCTGCTGTGTTGTAAGAATTATTAGTTGTGAGATAGTTTGGTAAACAATATTTTTAAAAGCACTTTTAATGTAAAAACTGTCTCAGTGTTGTAAGTTTGTGGTTAATCTTGATATAGAAGTGCTTTGAGTGTGTAATGACAGTCGAGAGTAGTTTGACAAAAAGAAACTATACTCTCACTACATACATTATTTTGATAAAAAAATTGTTTTACAAAATTTACAATGACACGAAAGGGTTATGGAGGGGGTGGTCGTGGCGTGGTGGTTGCGGGATTAGTGTGGTGGATGGGAGGCTAACGATGAGATGGGAAGGAATGTACAGTGAAGGGAGGACAAAGACTGCCATTTTGTAAAATAAGTGAGGCCATCAGTTAGATTTTAGACGAGTCCCCTAATATTGAGATTGAAATTCTACCTCTGCAGCCGCTAGCACCAACCTCCCTGCCACCCCCAGCTACCTCAACACCAGCACCGGATGTTCCCTGGCACCGCCCGCTACCCAAAACCATAAACCCTACACCACATCACCCAATGGTGACCTGCTTGCTTCAGGCATAATCAAACTGAAGAACCCATTACATACCTGATCCTTGCCGCCTACTTTACCATTGCTTGAGCTGATATTATACTATATATTTCACCATAATCTTAGTTATAATTTATTAGTTATTTTGATAGGATTTTGATACTTTGTTATGTATTTTCAATGTAGGACATTCGACTTTCTTTGGAGTAAAATATGATCAAACGGATGAATTTTGAGTGGTTTTAATTGAAGGATGTTAGTGAGTCTTTCAAGATGATTGTGTCAAAAATTCAAATATTTCTACCATGCCTGTTGACAATGGCAATGAAATAAAGGCCCAGCTCGCACCTTTCCAAGATTGACATTTTTTTACGTTTTAGGTATTTTAAAGGTCAAGATGACATATTTTGAGGAAGATTCATTCTGAGGATTTGTTAGGGACGTCTCAAGTTTTTTAAAAAAAGAAGACATTTTGGACCAAATCGGAGTTGATTGGTTGGTCAAAAGATGGATTTTTTCTGCAGTCCAAATTTCAGTTTAAATATGAAACCTTTTATTTCCTAACTATCTTATTTATTATGTTTCCTAGTTTTTAGGAGACATTTTCTAGGTAGGATTTTATTTTGTAGTAGTATAAATAAGACTATTTAACCATTAAAGGGAGAAGAGAAGAATGTCCGACGATTGAAGTTTATTTTGTCATGCTCCGATCCCGACATACGTCCAGGATCGACACGTGACGTCACCAAATACTTGTATATCTCACATATCCTGCCTCTGGGATATGACAAATCACAACTCGAGAATCGAATTTCAAAGTAATTTTTCGTTTACTTTATGGCTGCATCTAACCTCCTTGTTAGACTGCCTACGTACCCTCAATAGAGATCAAGCCATTCGTAGTTCACTTATCACAAAATCAGACGTTTATTCCACTAAGTTCAAGCAGAAAAGCATAGCATTCCTCACTCATTTATTATAACCTGACAACATGTAATTCCTGGACTCATGCTACATAACCAACCCCCATGAAAACATGATTTCTCTCCCATCCAACATATAAATCATTATGTCTCATCATGATATCGCAATTCACAACATACATCATATTTAAGAACCGACGAAACACAAAACCATTCTCTAGCCACATTAATTAATTAATCTGATCAAAGAAACAACAATTATTTCCATATCTTCTAAATTCATACCTTATGAAATCATAATAGAAAATCCCGAAAGAGTCACTCAGAAGTCCAACATCTTTTCTAACTCAATTAACAAGATTCTCGAAACCATTGACACAATCACTAGTCATAAAGTTCAACGAGTCTAATCATAATTACCATAACCATAACCAACATCATCCATAATCACATCAATCAATAATGTCAACCATCACATCATCAATAACACATACAACACGTCGAAATGCAGGGCTAGAGTAACACAGCTCGGCTGAAGACTACATCTTTGGAAAATGGGATTTTGGACCACCCAACGGAACCAAGGCACCAAAGGGGATTCCGGACCATTACTCAATGGAATCCAAATCAGGATACGATTATGGACCATCACTCAATGGAATCGTGGAGTAGAAGGGATTCCGGACCACTCAACGGAATCCAAATCAGGATACAATTTCGGACCATCACTCAACGGAATCGCAGAGTAGAAGGGATTCCAAACCACCGCTCCACGGAATCCAACATCGGGATCCGGACTATTCAACGGAAACAAAATATCCCAAGGTTTCTCATAATTACCTAGACTTGTCGCATGTGAAATAAGTGCCTACATCATGGAAATGGTGCATCGGTCAAACAACAACCCGGATAAGCTGCGAAGCTCGTGTGAGCGATAATAATACAAAGTATGTGACAATAATGATAAAACCAACCATCAATCACAGTTTATAAACTTTGAATATAAATAATTCATAAGAAATTAATACCAAACCTTTGCAACTCCGAAGGAGTCACACGGACATCCAACTGCTTTTCTAAATCAAACTCAAAGTTCTCGAAGCCAAAATTCACGGATACACTCAAAACTAGAGCTAGAGAGATGTCGTTCGGTCGAAGCCTACACAAGTAACCAAATAGGAAGTGGCCCCCCAAAGCGAATCAACCAAGCAGAGCCCCCCTGAGAAAGTACCAAGTAGGTAGTGACCCCCCAACGCGGATTAACCAAGCAGAGTCACTACTACAACTAATGAGAAGTGATCACCCAATGCGGATTAACCAAGCATGATCACCCCTAAATGTGTATGGCCATACCTAGGATATAAGGATCGCCCGACGCAAATTAACCAAGCGCAATCCACAAATAGTATGGTCCCCTAACGTGGATTAACCAAGCAAGACCATCCATGTACCGTTGCTACGTGGTGCAGCCTCGGTGTCACTTAACCTCGTGACACTAGGGTAACGATCCCCTACTAGCCCTTGCATTTCTCAACATTTCAAATGTATATTTATTACACAATTCATAAACATTTCAATATGCACTTCAAATCACCTTTTCACAAATATTACCAATCCATGAATCAATTCACATTTGATAAATAGATTGATGGCCAATTATAAAAGAATCACATTTTCATAGAAAACACATATATGAAACCAAGTCACATTTTCATACTAGTAACCATACATATTATTTCTTATCTCAACATCGTAAGGTTCTATTCCTATGCTTCGTAACCTTCTTTCTCTATCCTTTAATAAACCAAAGTAAAGTTAATGGTTTTCAACTTAAAACACTACCTCTTCACTCTTGCCACTACCCCTTTTTGACAAGTATATGCGGCAAATATATATATTAAAAGAAATTGGGTCGTTTACTAATAATTTGAATATAAATACTAGTAAACAATATAAACTCTTAAACCCCAACCAAAATCACTCAAATAAGCACAAAATTAACAAGGATGTTATTTCAATTAGAATTCCCTTTTAGGCCTAGATGCTTGGTAACGAAAGAAGCATTTCGTATAACAGAACTCTGAATCCATAAGGTAATACCATTTACTTGTTAATCGATATAACAAAACAGTGGTTTGGTTTAACTCAATTTAATAACCTTATCAATAATAGAACTTAATAAGGATTCGCATTAACATTTGGTTGTTTACGAACAATTAAGTTTCAGCATCCACATACAACAATTTCATAGAACAAACTAAGCGTAAGTTTTCTTGGGTATTAAATCAAGCACCTTGCAAGCATACATGAATTTATCTACTCAACCAAAAACATCCACTTGCCAGCACCCACAGTTTCACACTCTTCAGCACCCAAAAATATCAATAACCACAATCATACAGATCAATAGAATTCTAAATTTATAAAAAAACCTCACCACTAGCCAGCACCCTTTGTTGTTGTTGTTGTTGCAATTGGATGACCACCGCTCCAAATTGAAGCGAGATTCTCCCTTTGCGACTCTGCCTCAGAGCAAAAGTGAGAGTGTGGACTTCCCCCCTCAATATTTTACAATTATGGGGATTTAAGTTTTTTGAGAATCCTTTTCCTTCTTGAGACTTGGAGTTGATGAGATCATCTGGGAGTAGAAAACAGAGAGAGTTCCAGAGAGTTCCTCCCCTTATTTTCTGATTGGTCCACAAATATTACTCACCTCTCCTCGACCCAATTTCCTACATGGTGGGGGTTTAACTCATTTAAAAACTATAGTTTAGTAGAACAACTTTAAATATCCGTAACTATACCGTTATAATCCGGACTTGCAAACGGCTTTCGTTTATGCGCTCGTGGCTTTGAGATCTATTCGAAAATATAAATCGTGACCTCGAAAGGTCTACGGATTTTAGATAATTAATTTCCAAAATTCTACCCTCATAACTAGTTTAATTAAAACCTAATTTCAAATAAATTAATATAAATTCCTGAAAAATAATATAAAACCTAAATAATACAAATACGTAGATTATAACAGTGAAATCCAGGGACGGGATTTCACATATTTTCCATATTCCTAATAATATTTTGTTTTATAATTGTTTGTAACTAGTTTCGTTTGCTAGGTGTTTTCTATCCATTTCAAACACACATAAATGGAAAAGGATCCTCGTCAGATCATTTTCCTAGTGATCCTAGGAATTCCTTAATCGTGACCGTTCATTATAAATCGTGTGGTCAGTTTTCGTCAAGTACTATTTATATTTAATTTTAAATTTTAAAGTTTGAAATGATTTCTGACCACACGATGCACGATAAACGGTCACGATCATGAGATCCATAAGATCCCAGGAGAAGATCCTTTTTCCCACAGAAATCAGCTTTCCATTTCTCCCCTTCTATCAAAACCATTACGCCCCTGGGTTTTCAAAACCAACAGTTTCCCTAAATTCTTAAAATGACATTATTGCTCTTTTCATATTATTTCTACTCAGTACTACAATCTAATAGTATTCTTCTTCATTTGAAAGTGAAAAATCCTAGGTTCAAATCTCGTAGATAGCGAATTCGATATCAAATTCGATAAACGGTTCTCGTGGGGATATGATACTCGAAAGATAGCTCATATGGTAATAAAATTTGATTTAAACTTTTGTGGTGAAGTTTGCTAGAAATTAAATTCAAAAGCAAAATTTCTGTTACTTTCTCTGTTAAGCTTTTTTATTTTTTATTTTTTTAATGAAGAGAAATATTTAGTTTCATAGACATGCAGCAAGCTCTCTTTGCCAAGGGATCTGGCTTAAAATCTTCTTTGCTTCATCCTTGTTGTAGACTGCCTCGTGGATAAAGTTTCCTGCTATGTGTTTGACGATTGTACTGCCATGCTTACTTTTGAATCTCTTGCCGAGACATCTGAATTTGCAAGAAAGTGGGTACCATTCTGCAAGAAATTTTCGATTGAACCACGTGCATAAGTTTTCCTTCTCACAAAACATTGACTACTTGAAGGACGAAGCGCAACAATCTTTTGTGAAGAAGCGCAGACCGATGAAAGTAAGTACCTAATGGCCGAAGCTTCTTCTAGTTATTTATGCTAAAACTGAGTTTTTGGGTTACTGTTTATCTATAGTGTCTGGACAGATTTACCCTCATAACTCTCATTTGTTTCCTTCTGTCTTGCTTGGTTAGTGCAGTGAAGAGACATTTTTGCCTCTATTTTCCATGTGTCCCCATCGTTATTCCGTCAATTTCGACAGTCTTCTTCGCTCTTAGGGTTTTCTTCCTTCGTTGTCTTTCCTGATTTGGGTTTTGCTGTTTTTGTTTTGCTCCTTCTTACTTCTAATCATGTGTTTCTTTTTGGTGATCGTTGTTTCTTTCGTGCAAAGACTACGTGGTTTTCGTTGTTTAAGGGATTTGATTTTCTCTGCGATTTGTTATTGAGGGTCGTTGTGCATTTGTTTAAACCTGGGGTTTTTTGTGGAAACTGATAAATTTGTTTCCAGGCCTTCCAAAGTTGTGGTCGGGGGAATACAATCCATTGTGTTCGCCTTTTTTTTTCGTTTTGGATTTCCTGTTTCTGTCCGGAATTTTGGCTGATTTTTAGCCCAGTTTGCGAGCGGCGTGTTTCCAGATAGCTGCGCGAGGGCTTTTACTCAGGCAATATATATTTTAAATAATTGTTTTTGGGTTTTTGTTTGGGTTTTTTATTTTGGATTTTTATCGATTTGGAGAAACCCTCACGATTTGGATTTGCAGTGCGTAGCAGTGTTGTCGTGGATTTGGGGGCTAAAAGCAGATTCTTTCTTTGCTGTTCTCCGTTAACAAATCTAAAATTTCCCGAGAACTGTAACTGTTGTTTTGGGTATGGTTTCCGGCCTCTGCTTCTTGATGATTATGTTCGTATTTCTTATTTGGTTCACTGGAATTTGTGGATTGTATTCCCCCGACCACAACTTTGGAAGGCCCGGAAACCAATTTATCAGTTTCCACAAAAAACGCTAGGTTTAAACAGATGCACAACGGCATTCAACGACAAATCGCAGAGAAAATCAAATCCCTTAAACAACGATCACCAAAGAGAAACACATGATTAGAAGTAAGAAGGAGCAAAACAAAAAAAAGAAAAACCCAAATCAGGAAAGACAATGAAGAAAGAAAACCCTAAGTAGCTAAGAAAACTGTCGAATTTGACGAAATAACGATGGGGGACGCATGGAAAACAAAGGCAAAAATGTCTCTTCACTGAGCCAGCCAAGCAAGACAAGATAGAAACAAATGAAAGTTGCGAGGGCAAATCATTGGGACACTATAGATAAACAGTAACTCAAAAATTGGGTATAATTATTTTTTTTTCCGTAATTGTCTAAATTGCAATTATAGTTATTCGTAATAATTCTCTTTAGTTTTTTATTTTTTTATTTATTTTTGGTTAAATTTTAGGATATAAGGACAGAGAACAATCTCTATTTGAAGACATAATGTGACCGGTATACGGGATGGTACATTACGTGTCACTATACAAATGGTAGGAAATATATGCTAAAAAGTTAATAACTTAAAAAATAAAATTTATCACCGCTCCTATTAAAATATGTGGTGTATCACTTGTGTTCCCGTCATAACTAAAAATTTATCCCCTACTTGGCGTTCATGTACACGTCGTTCCAAGAGCGAGCCACGTTCGTATCGCATGGCAACACAGCTCGGCTCGCCAAAGAGGGCGACGATCCAGCGTGCATTTACGGCACCACTACATCCGACGAGAGGCTCTACGAGAATGCCTACTCCTACTCCAAGATCATAAAGAAGCTTATCGAAGTGGATCCCGCCAAAGCAATGGTGGCGATCGGTGACATGATGCGGAAGAAGATCACGATGCCGACGCACCTTATGTACGACGGGGAAGATTCGAACATATTCGAGCACTTCGCGGTGGTGGCTCAGCGGATTAGCGTGTACACGGCAGATTACGCGGATATCTTGGAGCTTTTTATCAGACGGTGGAAGTTAGTGAAGTGGGAGGGATTAACGGCAGAGGGTGCAAGCGCACAGGATTTCTTCTGTAGGCTGGCACCGAGGATTATAAGGCTTCAGGAATAGGCGGATGAGCGAGCACGGAAGATGGGGCCGTAACCGGCTAAGTTTAGCTGGATGTTTAATAAAGAGGTGGCCTTGTAATAATTTCATCCATAATAATGCTACTAAAAATGGGGATGTGTTGTAAAATCAACGGTATATGTGTAGTGGAACATAAAGTAAATAAGACATATCGGTACAACGGGTGATCGCGAGTCTCAAATTTGCTTTGAATTATGCATTTGCAAAAACTCACAAAAACCTTGCTATGGTAAAACCCAAGATAGGCAAAAACCCATAAATTAAGGAGAAAAGTAAGAAAATATGCATAATGTCTAAAACACTCGTCAAACTGGATGAAGGTAGTGAACTCATCGGAGTATGATCATCCCAGGATGGGTGCCTCATTAAAACCTCGTTAGGTAGCAAAAACCCAGTGGGAAAAATGCTCCTAATAGTAGGAAAAATAGTACATTACGATCATGTGAGTATGCTTCTAGATACTCCCCCTGAGTTAGACATAACTTCTAAATAAGAGAACTACAAGTGACTCAACTCAGATAATTTACACATATTGATTCTTTGGATAAGCTTCTGAAATGTAGACTTGGGCAATGACTTGGTAAAGAGATCGGCCAGGTTGTCCTGGGAATGGATTTGCTTGACTTCAATGTTCTGATGCTGTTGTTGCTGGTGTGAGTAAAAGAACTTCGGCGCTATGTGCTTGGTGTTGTCTCCCTTGATGTATCCCTTCTTCAGCTGCTCGATACATGTTGCATTGTCTTCAAAGATCGTCGTAGGAAGGTCAACGACTGATGTAAGACCACTAGTGCTTCGAATATGTTTCATAACTTCTCTCAGCCAAAAACACCCACGTGATGCTTCATGTAGGGCGATAATCTCAGCATGGTTAGACGAAGTCGCAACTAGCGTTTGCTTGGTAGAAAACACTTGGAGATTTACGGGTATAGAACAAACCCAAATCCGTAGTACCTTTGAGGTAGCGGAAAATGTCTTTAACATCACTCCAGTGCCTATTTGTGGGCGCATTGTTGTATCTAGCCAATAGATTCACAACGAAAGAGATGTCGGGTCTAGTGCACTGAGCCAACTATAATAAAGCCTCAATTGCACTTAGGTAAGGAACTTCGGGTTCCAAAATCTCTTCCTCATCCTCCTTTGGACGGAAGGGATCTCGTTTAGCATCTAGAGTCCGAACGACCATGGGTGTACTCGAAAGCTTCGTTTTATCCTCATTAAAACGTCGCAACACCTTTTGGGTGTAGTTCAATTGATGTACTAGGATTCCATCTGAACAATGCTCGATCTCTAGGCCAAGACAATTCGAGTTTTCCCAAGATCCTTCATCTCAAATTCCGATTTCAAGTGTGTAGCAATTTCCTCAAACTCTACGGGAGTCCCAATGAGGTTTATTTCATCGACATAAACTACAACGATTGCAAATCCAGAATGTGACTTCTTTATGAACACGCATGGGCATAGTTCGTTGTTCACATAACCCTGACTTGTCAAATATTCACTCAAACGGTTATACCATAATCCGTAGAGTGACCTCCTCAACCTAATTAAGAGAGTGTTCCGTGGTCTAGAACTATTTGAGCTAGTCAATGGAAGTCATTCTGGAACTTTCATATAAATTTCTGTATCTAGATTCCCATTGAGATACGCTTTTACCATGTCCATAAGCTGCATATTCAGTTTTTGGAAACTACCAAACTGATTAGGTAGCGGAATGTTATAACGTCCATTATGGAGGAATACGTCTCTTCGTAATCAATCATTGGGCGCTGAGAGAAGCCTTGCGCTACGAAGCGTGCTTTGTATCGCACTATTTCATTCTTCTCATTACGCTTCATCACGGAAACCCACTTGTAGGCAACAGGCTTCACTCGTGGTGGTGTAGGAACGATAAGTCCAAATACCTTACGTTTCGTGAATGAATCGAGTTCGACCTGGATTGCTTGTTTCCAGTTTGACCAATCGATTCTACGTTGGCATTCATCGACGGAACATGGTTTAATGTCATCGCTAAGCATGATGTCAGTAGCTACTGAGTATGAGAATGCATAGAAAATCATCTCATTCCTATTCCAAACCTCATCCAATATTGTGTAGTGGACAGAAATCTCACGATTCTCAAGAGGCCGGCATGTTTTGTCTGAAGCATCACTGTAATCTAGAATAACCTCATGCATTGGAACAAATGAGTGAGCGATGGTCGGATTTAAACTAGGGTCACTAATTAGTGCCATTTTCCTCTTCCGGGGTTTTGAATCCTTTGAACTAGAGGGCCTGCCACGCTTCAGGGTTGGAGCATATGATGTCACCAATGTACCTTGCCGCATGGAGGGTGCGGCCTCCCCATCTTCGGGGACGGTCCGACCTTCCCGGCGAGTTGTTGATGTATGCAGGGTACATCTATCCTTGCAGGTGTGTTTGCAGCGGGTATATGTGATCTTGTCACCTTGGCTAGATCATTAAAAGCATTCGGCATGCTTTGAGAAATGCTCTAAAGATCTATAATTTGATGCACCTCAGTTTCAGACTGGGCAGTGCGGGGATCTAAATGAGACATGGTGGAAGCATACCATGACAATTCGCAGCGTTCTACGGAACGTTAACATACTTATCTCCCCCAAACGATGGGAAGATTGTCTCATCAAAGTGACAATCCGCAAAACGTGTGGTAAAGAGATCTTCTGTCAAGGGTTTTAAGTAGCAAACAATTGATGGTGAATCATAATCGACATAGATTCCCATTTTTCTCTGAGGACCCATTTTGGTACTTAGCGGCGATGCTATTGGCACATAAATGGCGCACCCAAACACCCGTAAATGTGAGACATTAGGCTCGTATCCAGTGACCAACTGTAACAGTGAATGTGGTTGGGTAGCGGTGGGCCTCAGCCGGACCAACATAGCTGCGTGCAATATTGCATAGCCCCAGAAAGATACCGGCAATTTGGTTCTCATAACCAAAGTCCGAGCAATCAATTGAATGCGCTTTATGAAAGCTTCTGCCAGGTCATTTTGGGTGTGAACATGGGGTACAGGATGTTCCACATTTATCCCTACTGACATGCAATAATCGTCAAAAGTCTGTGACGTAAACTCTCCAGCGTTATCCAGTTGAATTAACTTGTTCGGATAATCAGGGTGGTGAGCCTTTAGCTTAATGATTTGAGCTAGGAGTTTAGAAAATGCAGCGTTGCATATGGACAACAAGCAAACATGTGACCATCATGTCAATGCATCAACCAACACCATAAAGTATCTGAATGGTCCACAGATTAGTTGGATAGGTCCACAAATGTCGTCTTGAATCATCTAAAGAAATTTAGAGGGATCGTGAATAATCTTTGTATATGAGGGTTGAGTATTCAACTTCCCTAAAGAACACGCTTTGCATGGTAGGAGTCCAACATAGGGATGTAACTTATGCCCGTGTGAAGATTTGAGGATACGGCGCATCATGTCACGTCTAGGATGTCCCAAACGATCATGCCAAAGCAACAAAGTGTCCGGGAACTCAGGCATAGGACTGGCCACACTGTGGGCTTCCATGTTGCAAATGGTTGTGATGTACAACCTACTCGGCAAGCGTTCCAACTTCTCGTGAATATGCTTCTAGCCATATTCATATGAAGTGATACAAAGAAATTCAGAACCATGATCTTCAGTGGTTTCAAGATGATATTGATTATCTCAAATATCTCTAAAACTCAGCAACGTTCTTCCAGAATGTGGAGAATAAAATGCCTCCTTAATGGTCAGAATTGTACCATTAGACAACATGATACATGCCTTTCTGTATCTTTCAATCAGGTTGGATGAGCCTGAGAGAGTTGTTAAATGAGCTTTCTTGGGTATGAAGTTAGTAAAATAGTGTTGTTCACACAAGATGGTATGCGTGGTTACTCTATCTGCCAAACATCTAACTTCCCCACTAGACATACCTAGAAATAAATTGATTGAATTGGTCACATGTATAAATATAAGTCCATTCATTCAATTAAGCAATTTGAGAAAATAATATCCACTCAAATAACAATCCATAATTCAAAACAAACCAAAACCAAACAAATTATTCCAAATACTTAGAAAACTTGTTCAAAATTAAACCATAAACCTAGCAAAATAGGGGGTAGGGCTGGCCACTCCTAGTGGGTTCGGCCACAAGGGGTAAACACCCTAAATACATGTCTATTTTATTCATCCATAGGTGCTAACGCCTCCTGGAAATCCTATATCTCCATTGATGTAGTTGCATCTTCCGGATGATCTACATGTGCGAAGTTAGACTCACAACGGGAATGATACTTAGCAATAGCCTTAGGGGAAGCTCGACATACGCATGACCAATGATCTCTTGATCCACAGCGATAGCACATGTCCAGTTCAGTAGAAGCAGCCTGAACGGGAGCTTTGCCCTTGTTCTTGAAGTTAAGGACCTTAGGGGCGAGTGGTGGATGCTGCTGGGTCACATTTCTTCCCATAGGTGCGACACTTTGTTAACCTTGGGCCCATGTTTGGGCTTGCTGCCCATTGCCACTGCCACGACAGTTTTTTCATCGTTTATGGCTACTAGAATATGTCTCGTGCGCTTCAGGTGCGGTGTTCGAGCCAGTGGGTCGAGCTTGATGATTCTTCAAGAAAAGCTAGTTCTGCTTTTCAGCGAGAAGTAAAACATAGTCCAAATCCTAAAACTTGGTGAATTTCTGTGCCCTATATTGTTGCTGCATGACAATATTGGTGGCATGGAAGGTTAAATAGGTCTTCTCCAGGAGATCTGATTCGGTTAGTTCTACTTTGCAGAATTTCAACAGAGAACGGATTCTACAAACTTCAGAGTTGTATTCATTCACGAACTTAAAGTCCTAGAAGTGAAGATGTTGCCAGTCGTGTCTTACTTCAGGTAAGTATGTGTTTTTTTGGTGATCGAAACGGTCGGCTAGAGCAAGCCAGAGGATGCGTGGGTCATCCTTAGCGAGATACTCAGTCTG